CTTTCCCCTCATACTCAGCTTTGCCCCATGTCAAACTCAGGGCATCTTTACACATGAAATTTAGCGCAAAATGAGGTCAAGTTCAAGTCTGCAGAAGGTGACTGCTACTCCAAGGTTATTCTGTGTGCAAATATTCACACATATCAGTTACCTATCTCTAGTTCTCTTAGGCCATATGCTTTAAAACATCAGCTCTCCTGCTCAGAACCATTGAAAGCCTTTGGACCTGTGCCCTACGTTTGTTATTCACCAGCACAAAGGACCTCACCAGACTTCCTCCTCTCCAAAAATTTCTGCTCATGCTCCCAGCTTTAATCCAGAAGGTAGGCAAGGAGCAACATGTACTGTGGCTGCTTCTGAACTACTCAAACACAGGTAGAGGGGCTGCCTGCCCTGCTACCCTTGCTGGCAGCTGGACCTTCACTAGCATAGGTCTGTCTCTCTGCTTTATTCAACTGGTACCACCCAAGAAAGTTTTCAGAAACCTAGTCATAAAAACTAGCTGATGTGATCAACAGGTTCAAAACTATCAGGGAGATAAGCCACAATGCTGGCAGATAAACAAAACTGAACAAACCAGATACCACTCCAAGATCTTTGGTGCAAACAATGCAATTTTTAGTTGCACCATTCTCACTCCCAGGGTGCATAAGCTTCCTGGTGTGCATACTCCATGTCCCTCTGGGGCTGCCTGCAGCAAGGCAGACTGCGTTGCTCCGTGCTCTGATGTCCATTCTCCTGAGAAGAAACATCCCACTTCACATCCCTGTCCTTTGGGCAGCTGATGAGCTGCAGCACCTACTAGTTCTCCTCACTTCTCTGCTTCTCCTCATGTTCACAGTTGGTCCCAGGAAGATGGTTTTCCTCTTCATCATCCCCTCAACTTCATCTATACATCCAGAAACGCAGAGACCAAAGTTAATGAAGAGATACTTGATTACGGGGGAAGAGACTTTGAAATTCATCCTGCCCTTCTCTCTTCAACAGCACTATCTGTGCAGGGCATATGACAAATCCATTTTAAAGAGAAGGCCTCTATCTACATGTGACCACATAAAACACTTAGGTAAACTCTTATCTGGAAGGGTGGAATTTATATGGGATGGGGGAGAAAAGAATTACCCGCATAAACACAGTGCTTATCATGGGAAGGATCTATGATTTATTCTGCTGGAAGGACAACCTACCTCACAGAGCTGCAAGCTTGTTTAGTATTTACATTCCACACTGAAGAGGTTAAAAGGCTTTGGAAATCTTAAGTAGTAGCATTATTATTCCAATAAACGCACAAAGTATCACCTGTGGTTGTACTAATTAAATTGAGTTCTACCAACATGACTACAAAATTGCCTTGATGTTACTTTAAAAAAACCACAACAATCTCTCCAGCTGCAAAATCTTAATTTTTGTTGTTGTTTTGAAGGGGTTTTATGGTAAAGACAGAAGCCAAATGCAAAGTTGGTTTTGGTGACTTGCCCAGCTCTAGCAGGTCATGTTTCACTCTGTATGCAATTAGGACACAACTGTGCACTGAGGTCTTCTGTACTGGCCAAGGCAGATACTCTGTTTCACACGCAGGCATCTCCATGTACACACTTTCTCAACTTGCCAGCTGCCAAAGCATGGGGCAGCAGAATCAGGGAGGTAAGATGTCTTCAAAAGGGCTACTGAGGTGTGCTGTGGCAGGGACCTCTCCACGGGACGAGACAGCAACGTTCATGGCATCCTGACTCTTTGGAGGGACAGCAGACAGGAACAAGGGGAACACAGCACCGTCCTTCTGTCCCTGCCAGCGCTCAATGCAAAAGACTGTTTCTTATGCTTATGGAGATATTTAAACAACATGTAGATGCGACACTTAGGGACATGGTTTAGTGGTGGACTTGGCAGTGTTAACTTTATAGTTGGACTCAATGATCTATGGACCTTTTCCAACCTAAATGATTTGAAGGTACGCTGCAGGTATCTGGGATTTACCACATGGTCTAAGCGCTGCCTAAACCCAATACAGCATAGTGTGACTTAGTGGTGGAGGAGCAGCTGTGTGCCCATTGAGGAGTGGCCACAGCACAAGCCCTGCAGGGACACTGCCCCACGGCAGGGCGGGCTCTGCTATCTCAGATCTTTAGCATCCCCGATAAAAGCTATAAGAAGGTGAGATTTAAGGTCAGTAACAACAGATCATTACCCTTGCCTGCACACCTGCTGCCAAGAAGTTAATTAAATGATCATTTTGTGGCTTGCACAAAAGCCAGCAGATAGCAAAAGCGTTCTGGGGTGGTAGTTGGGCTGGGTTTGAACTGGTGACCTAGAAGCAGCACGCCCCAGATTTTTCTGTTACAGCCTTGTTCCATCCAGCCCTCGTGGCTGTTTCAGTTAGCGATGCCACACTTAAACACAGCAGGTAGGAAAATTCCAACATGGATTTTGAAGATTAGCATGCATAGTTTCAAAGGCCACTGTTTCAATCAAGAGCTTAAAATAAGTTCACCTCAACTGTCTTCTCCCACTCCCCATCCCAGACGGGGAAAAAAACCAACAAAGCAAAAACCTCCCCAGCCCATACATGAGTGTGCACACACAATCACAAGAGAGCACTTATCTTTGAGACTCGCTTGTCACCTGAATGTGAGTTGCCCTAGTCAGCTCAGTTTCTCACAAGTTCAAGGAGCAACCAGCACTGCACAAAGAGGCACCGTGCTGTGGCAGACACTGTGCCATGCTGGGCTGCCAGGTGACCTGGCTCTGCTGTCCCTCATGCACACACACTTGAGCATTTGAAGAGGTGATCAAAGAAGTTAAGAGACCTACCTTTATTTATTTATTGTGTACAAATACTCGAAGGAGGGAGGAAAACCCTCAATGTTGTTTACTCTGTCTTAGAGTTTTTTAAGAGATTGGCAGACTATCAAGAAAGCTGGGGAGGGACTTTTTTCAAGGGCATGTGGTGATAGGACAAGGGGTAATGGTTTTAAACTGGAAGAGGGGAGATTTAGCTTGGACATTATGAAGAAATTCTTTAGTGTAAGAGTGGTGAGACACTGGAACAGGGAAATTCTGGCTGCCCCCTCCATAGAAGTATCCAAGGCCAGGTTGGATGAAGCTTGGAGGAACCCAGTCTAATGGGAGGTGTCCCTGCCTTTGGCAATGGGGTTGGAACTAAGTGATCTTTAAGGTCTCTTCCAACCCAAACCATTCTATAGTTCTGTGATTCTAAAATCAAAAACGGCTAAAATGCCAGAGAAATGGTCATGTGTTAGGCATGCTTGCTGAGTCACAAAGGAATTTCAGGTTCAATTTTATTTAAAAATGGCCAGACTGTTAGTAGTAGCAAAAACACTGAGAAAGAATGAAAAAGGGAGTAACACCAGCAAAAGAGCAGAGGAGACCCCCTCATCCAAAACCACAACCAGGACCCTTATAAGGAACTCTGCAAATTAGTAGAAGCTGCTCAATTAGAAAATGGAGCGCCAATTACCATAAGCTGGCTAATAGCCTTTCGGTCAGCAGACCGGCACCAGGATTTCAGGAGAACAATGGGAGCTAACAAAACTGAGCCACAGCTCTGGCCACGATGCAGTGACCTCCCGGCCTCCCTCCCAGCCACTCACCCCGACAGTCAGGCTGAGCTGCTCCCGGCTGGGCAGGAAGACGCAGACGCTCCGGCTCTCCGGCTGCATCCTGCCGCTCAGCAGCGCCCTGCTCATGATGGGCAGCTCCGCGGGGACCAGGGTTTCCTCTCCGGGCGAGCGTCAGGCTCCCTTCATCCCATGCACCTGCCGAGAAGGTGAGAGCATCAGTGCCACGCTCCTGCCGGTGCGGGGAGCAGCCCACAACACGTGTTTGACGCAATGTTTTCCTCCTCGCTGTTAAACAGAAAACCAAATGACCTGTTTTTATGGCACCACAGTCAACGTTTACACTGGCATCACAGTGCTAACTGGGCAGAGTCAACCTTTAGACAGCCCATGAGTCCCAGGAGAGTGCCATAAAGCAATCAGGCCTCCTTAGAGTAACAAACCAGGCTCAAGGTTTCGAGACACATGTAAGTGATAAGACAGATGACACCACTTCCCAAAAATACCCATGAGAGAGGAGGGAGTGCCCCGTCCTTCAACCAGGTACCTCACTCCTGCCTAAAGCAGAGGTTTTCACAAGTCATCAGCAGGCACGTGTCAGTGCAGTGGGCTGCTGCTGAGATGTCCTCCCCCTCTCTCCTCCTAGTCCCTGGGAAACTGCTGAATCCAACACCTCAACTTAAAGGAGGACGAGAAAACATACATAGTCACAAGGCCATGCTGCTGTTTCATACTTTCTGTGAGATGAGCAGTGCCAGCCTCCTCCCAAGGGCTGAGCCCAAGCTGCATAAGAATCTTGGAGCTGAAGTGATTGTAATAACAGAAGTAAGAGACATAAATTCAGTTCATACCCAGAAGCAAAGCAGCCAGTATCATCTTCACATTATAGCCAGGTTAGACACAGTTTGCTCAGCAATTTGTGACATTTTATTTACAGCCCTCTGCTCTGACACTCTCCAGGGCAAGGAAGCATCCCAAGGCACCTGATAAATCCAGAAGGAAGGGGAGAGGCTCCTTAAGGGTGGGTTAGGGATGAATGCTGGCAGAGATCTGAACCAGCAAGATATGAACCAGTTATGGGGTCCAGCCAGCAACACCCAGACACCCATCACTGGTGGGTGCAGCAACAGCGGTGCTACTGGCTGATCCCTGCCCACAAAGCCCCCTGTGCCCCTGGGGATGGGCATGTACCCCAACAAGGGCAGTGCTGCCCTCTCCCGCTGCCCATGGCAGAGCCTGCCTGTGGGAGACAGGGGTGGCACGGGCTTTTCCTTCACCCTCCAAAATGGATTCAAGGACAAGGAAGGGATCATAAGCAGCAAGGAAGCAGGTCCCATTAAGCTAACATATGACATACGTACATATATATATATACACATATATATACACACACGTATAGACATATATATGTGTACACATGCATGTGTGCACTACATGTAAGTTTTTAAAGCATTATCACATTTGTTGTGTTTCAGGGGAAAAATATGGTGGAATCAAACTCTTGTGTGTGAGATGGGAAAATCAAACCACCATGGGAAAACAAAGTACAGTACAGAAAAAGTAACTTGGATTTACCCCTCTCCCTTCAATTCCATGTTCAAACTTTATAATAATTTTTTCTTAAATCAAATGAAAGAAAAAGATCTGTAAGTGTTCTTTTGCAAGTACATATGCTGTTCCAGGCAGCTCCTTCCCTGAACCAGCATATCCAATGTTTCTTAACAAGGCATGTTTCAATACAAGTTCTCTATTTGGAGCATCTCCTATGAGACAGAAGCACAAAAAATTGCACTTGCATTAACAAAAAAAGTGTTATTAATTTTTTTTCAAAATCAGAATTTAATTACACAAGCAGTAGGAGTTTTTAAAAGGAGATTGCTTTAAATTATAAGCAAGCAGGAAAGACACATTTCACTTCCTGGGACAGGTGAAAGCTTCTGTTAAATGAAATATTAAGAAAAAAACCTCTGATTTATCCCCTCTTGTTGCTATAATTATACTGATGAGCTCTCTTAGGCTTCAGGCTATACACAACTAACAGCTGTATATAAATTACAGATGTCTACAGACTGACTCAAGGGCAACAGGTCACTATTATTATTGCCAGCTGATCTTATATGCGCCATAAACTTTATCAACAGCACAAAAACCTCAGAATATGAGCTCAAGCTTTCCAACATAAGGAGGTTTGTCTTAACTGTCGAATTGCTGCCCTGGCCAGTACACATTCCCACTTGCAAGGAGAGATCATGTCTAGCGAAGACTTTCACGTGGCTCATAACAGAACTGGAAACAGGACAAAGAAGCAACCATGAAAAACACATGCACACAATGTTCTGTGGATAACTTAAGAAACTGAATCCCACTTCCCCATAGCCTCTATAAAACCAAGCTTTTGGAAAGCTTTTTCTCTCATCTCACACCTCCTTTGTCCATTTGAGTTTTTAATAGAACAACTATGGATCCTGGGAACAAGAAAGTGAGAAAGGAGGGGAAGATGGTGGTATTTTTCTTAAGTTTTAAGAGAAATGAGCTTGTGGACCTGCCACAGCAGGTAAGAGGTTAAAGGAGAAATGTCCTTAATCTGAAGGGGGAAGTCAAACACAAGCCCAGCTCAGCCTTCTCTTCTTTAGAGGTATGTTAGGTTGTGATAAAATACAATGAATCATTAACTTGCTAGCATTTCATGTTTACATCTTTAAAGAGGAAAAAAAAAAAAAAAAAGTTGTGAACCAAGAGTAACTGCCCAGTGAAAACAAGTGGACAGAAGGAATGCTCTTACTTAAACATACACAATTTCAGACTGCCCATATGCCATTCTTTTGTTTACCACAAATTCCAACCTCTTAACCTCAATTAAACCCTAAAAGCTCCAGCAAATACACTGCAGATGAATTAATAAAAGCTGAAGTCAATCATTGGCCTTTGGGACACCCTACAGGTTATTTGCTTTTATTGTGGGGTTTTTTTTTTTGTTCGGTGGGTTTTTTTGGTGTTTTTTTGGTTGTTGTTGTTTTTTAAATAACATCACTTCATGTTTTAGGTCCCAGAGAAGTGCATTTTGAGATGTAATTGCTTGGTCAAAGGCCCAGAAGCCTACCAATGAAACAGTCAAAGGCACTATTTATTTGTATTATTCTGGTATCAGTCAGGAGGCTTATTAAGAGCCTAGACTGGTGGCACAGCTTATTTAGAACTGTTTATTTTATCTAAACACATGTGCAGCAGAGCTTTGGAAAACATGCGTGTCATTAATTTCAAGACTCCTTGATTAAACAGTTCAAACATGTCCATAAAAACTCATTAAGAAGAACTCTAACCTTCTCCTCCTCTCTCTAGGGCCCCTCAAGCTGCCTCCCAGCACTGGACCAGATCTCAGCACTCACTGGGTCAAAGCAGGAA